TTTCTTATTTTCAGATTCGTATCAGAAATCACATTTCCACATTTTCTTTTTCCAAAAGCATTTTTCTTTTTAGTTTTTTCTTTGATTTTTCCTCAACAGAAATCAGCTTCTCATCTTCTTCCCCAAGCCTTTTTCTGTCCAGTTCCATTAATGCATCATCATCTAGTTTCCTGTCTAAAAATATATCTTGCACAAAACTATCATAAAACTCACAGCATTCCTCGGATAAAGGACTGCTGATACACAGATAATTAACAAAATTTATCAAAAGCAAAACCGACATCATTAATTTCAAAATCAACCACTTCCTCTTCAAACTCCATTGAAATTGTGTTATTAAAAGCATCTATTTTCCTTTTTGTAGTTTTCATAAATGGTCTGTCTATAATAGATTTTGTATATGATATATCCAAATTACCCATGTCCAGAATATAAAAATCAGTTAGAAAGATCAAATCATTCACTTGGACAAGAACATATTCCAGTACACCTTTTGGGTGTACTGTTCAGTGGTCAGCCAACTCGATAATAGTCCTAGTCTTTTTTAAAGTACCTAATTTTGATTTTTCAAAAATAGAAAATGGAAGGACATTAACTGATGCATCTAAATCAAGCATTGCATTTTGAAAATTAAGGTCACCAAACTTACAAGGAATCAAGAAAATTCTCGGATCATTGCACTTTAGAGGTAAACCCTTTTGCAAAATAGCTTGAATCTTTTCACCAGCTTTTAATGTTTCGTTAGTTTTAATTTTTTTTCTTTGAAACACATAAGATTTACCTCAACCTTAAGAAAAAATTTTATACTGTCTTCATCCTCTTGCTTGCGCTTTGTACTCTTCAGTCTTGATGGGAATGGACGAAACGGCTTGTACTCCTCCATATTCGACTTCACTAGTTCTGGAGTTTTTTTTCCTTTATCTTTTTCCTCTTATTTGTCACTCAAAACTTCTTCAGATCCTTCTTCATCCTCTTTTTATGGTTCATATTTCCTTGGGTCTTCATAACTCTTCCCACTTCTCAAGGAATTAGCCCTCATATTGTGCTTTGGATTGTTTTCAATGTGTCCCTGTAACTTTCTTGAGATTCCATTCGACCCATAGAAGTGGCAAGTTGAGACACTTGTTGTTCCAGATTCTTGATACTAGCTCTGGTTTCGTTTTGGAATGCTTGGGTGCTCATGGCTAAACTTTTTATAATGTCTTCTAAGGCCACACTGGAACTACTAGTTTACTGATTTGAAGCTTGGTTCTGAAAATTTAAACTCTGGTAATATTGTTGCTGCTGATTCTGAAAGTTCTGCTGAAAACCCGGTGGCTAAAAATTCCATTACTGGAATCCGAGTAGATTCTAATATTGTTGTCATTCCTAAAAATTGTTCTGATAATTTTGTTGATAGCCTCCGACAACTTTTACCATAGCACTATCTTCTTGCAGTAATGGACACATATCAGTTGGATGGTCCGTTTTTAAGCAGATATTGCATTGTTTCTTTGTAATAGCTTTTTCCTTTGTTAACAGGAGAACAACCTTCGTCAACTCAAAATTTTGGGATTCCAGATGAGCATTGTTGACTTCTTTGACACCTCATGGCTAATTAGTATACCACTCATCTTTGTTTTTGGAATGTTATGACTGAATGACAAGTTTTTCTATCAACTCAGGATTTCAGTTGGTGTCATGTCACCTAAGGATCTACCACTTGAAGCATTTATTAGCCTTCGCTCCATGAGTGTCAGACCTTCGCAGAAGCAGTTGTACAACTAATAATCAATGATCTCATATTGTGGGAACAAAACCAATAGCTTTTTGAATCTCTCCCAATAAGTATGTAATGTTTCTCTTCTTCCTTGTTTGATTCCAAGGATTTCTCTACGAAGACTTGAAACTCGCGTTTTTGGAAAATATTTCTCTAAACATAACTTCGCGAGTTATGTCCAAGTGGTGATCGATCTGGATGGGATAGGCTAGGGTTTGAAGAACTCTTTCTGAAGGGGTGGATGTTGGGGTTAAAGGAAACCCTAGTCCAATCATTTCTTAAATAGGGCTCAAGATACGGGCCCTAGGGTTTTAAGCCCATGATGGCGCCACCATGGTTACACTAGACATCACGTTGTGGTGACAAGGCAATGACCACGCTGTGGTAAACTCCTCGCCACGAAGTGGTATGAACCAAAGGACCAAACCCTACTCTTAACTTAAATACACAAATCATAAGTTCAAAACAAGATTCAGGTGTTACATGTTGATAATTAGTTATTCATAGAATAATAAATACATAAAAAAAGATGATAAATTGTCATATATATATATATATATATATATATATATATATATATATATATATATATATATATAATCCATTAAATTTTATGAAGTTTAATTGAATGTTGACAGAATTGTATGAAAATTGAAACGGTTATGTGCGTGATCATTTAAACCCTTCGAAGTTTGTTACATTGGAGATGACGTAAATCCAGTAAGAGATTAATGTGTTGTTTTCTTTTCACAAAAGATATTCTTGGTCACTTTGTTTGTGATGTGTAGACAACACACTAACCTTTTTACTCGGCAGACTGTTTGTTTAAGAAAAAAATCCTAGAACCAAAAAGTTTTGATCGTTTTTTTTCTCGAAACAAACTTGGGATAAGGTCCTTTTTTTTCCTTCTCCTAGACTCTACTGTTTTCTTCCATCAATGTCTTCTTTCTTCCTTCTTTCACAAACCACCTCCGTACAAGATCGTTGTCCAACCACCATTGTCTCGTCATCGTCATCCCAACTTCTTTCTTCTTTCTTTCGTCATCGTCTTTATGTACGACATTCAATCCTAAGTTCGTATTTTTTTTTCTTCTCTTTTTTTCCAAGCCACCACCAAGGTTCAGGGTTTTTTTGTGGTTCTCATCTTGTTTAGTTCTCTTCTTGTTTTTTTTCCCATTAAATATGTTGCTTGAAAGTTTTTTTTTAATTAATTTTTTTAATCTTTTAAAAAACCTTATATTTTGTGTTTTTTTCCGGATTAAACACTAACTTTATTTTTCCTTTGAAAAAGAACTTGTATTTTTTAATTTTTTCCGAAAAACCCTCAAATTTATCTTTTTTTTTCTGAAAAAAAAATCTCAACCTTCTAATTGTTTCCAAAAAAAAGCTCTCGTCTTTTTTATTTATTTCCGAAAAAGTCATTTCGGAAAAAAAAAATGACTAAAAGAGTGAAATAGAAAAAATGAAAAAATGCAAGTTTTTTAAGAAAAAATAAAGTTGATGTTTAATCCGAAAAAACAAAAAAGTATAAGGTATTTTATGAGATTAACTTTTTTTTTCAAGCCACCACTAAAGTAATTTTTTTTGTTAACTGTTTATGGGTGCCGGAGCCAAGGTCAAAGTAAAGGGTATCCCAACCCATCGGTTCGGTGTTTCGGTTTGTACGATTCGGTTTCGATTTTAAAGCCCAACATTAAACCAATCATTGTTGTTGAGTTAATATGTGTTTGGCGATGTAGGATAAAATAGTTAGGAAAATAAAACAAAGTTAAACAAAAGATACATAAGGAGCAAGAATTGATCCTATGACATTTATTTAAATAAGTCAGTGTCTTAACCAGCAGACCAAGTATTTGTTTGTATTTATAATTGGAGGGATGTGTATATATACATTACATAAAACAAAATTTTCCTAAAAAAGTTACAATCCTGGAAAAAAATTGAGGGGCATTCGGGGCTTTATATTGGATCTGGGCAGGAATAGCAAATTTTGATTGTGTAATTGATGAATTAAAGCATATGGTAATTTAGCAATTGAGAATTGCATTGTTGTGTTTTTAAATTGTTTAGGGTTACTTACGGTGTGATTTTATGTAATTGAGGTGCTGCGTTTTTGTACTTTAAGTACAATTTGCTATGCATACAATCTACTTGTTTTATAGCCTCTAGAACTAGTCAAGAGTCTAGAATGTATAACCGAAGATAATTTTGATGTTGTGAAGTTGTGATAATTTAATTGCTCTTTTGTAGGTTGGAAGAATGTAACGAACTATTAATCATTTAAATGAGATTGGAATTGTATTATATAATCTTAATTAATGATTTGCTTTTTTAGGTTGGAAGAATGGCGGTTCAGTTTGCAAAGCCAAGATCGAATACATGCAGAGAAAGATAGTGTAAAGCTTCCAACTTACAAAGGGGGCAACATTAATGGTGATGCCTTCAATGAGAAATCGAGAATATCATGTTTTGGTGAATCATCAGTTGAATGGGCAATGCCCCTAGGAATGTTATTGTAATTTTTCTTAGTTAAACTACACCAAATAACAATGAACTTTACTACTTTTACCAAAATAGATAGCATACTTTGTAATTTTTATTGGTTATTTATGACAATTTTTGTCAAAAAGATCATTGTAATTTTGATTGGTTATTTATCTAACAATAATATATAGCTCCAAATATATAGTCTTTGTGTTGTTGCTAAAAGAAACTCAAAATATATAAGCATGTCTTTTTTGTCTAGTGATATTGTAATATTCTATTGGTTATTTTAAAAAATCATTTTATTTAAATTTCTATTTATTTAGCCATTTAAATTTAAAAAATAGTATTTTTCTTGTAGATTGTGGACTTCTAGTCCTTAAAAAACAAACAACTCCTAATAAAGAGAAAAGGCTAGCCCATAGCTGTTAACGTTGTTGTCGGAGCTTGTGTTCATGTATTAATGTCTATTTCAAGTGTTTTTATTTTAATTTTGAATTTCATTATATCCTACTCTATAATAAATAACGAGAGAGAAAAAACATTAACGACATGTATCAAATCGAATCGTGTTATTACAATATTTCACCTCATGATATCAATACAGAAAAAAAAAAAAAATTAATGTACCTAATTACATATGTCTTCGAAAAGCTGCATAATTAATCATCCATATAAAAATCACCAAATCTAAATAGATACTCTTCGGAACTACACCTCATAATTAAAGTGAGATTTATTGTTGGAAGTGATAAATCTAAAACAAGATTCGTTTAGGAGGAAGAAACTTATCATCCAATATGATAGTCGCAAGAAACCAATACTGACGTCCAATCAACCAGTATAAAAATAGAAAACTGACCATATACGAGAGTGTTGTCAAAAGATATTGCGACTGTATATACTTTTTTGGGAAGAGTAGAATGAAGTTGTATGAGAAAGCAGCTATCACAAATATAATCGACTCGGCAAGAAATGTCATAGCAAATGCGAGCTTAATGAATAATACTCTAAATAAAGCAGTTTCTGTATAGTGAGAGCTAATGATGGATAAGAAACAGAAAATTGAAGTTGAAGCCAATATAAAAGACACTCCATTCGATAGAAGAATGCTATTAAGATGCTTGTTATCAGTGAACACAGGCTTACCTGTGTCTTGGTTGTATCCACCTACAAATGTAATACAAGCTGCAAAACTTATGGTTGCTATAAGTGCGGCAACCACCATTAATTCAGACGATATCTTTTTGGTCCACTCCACACCTCTTGCAACCAGCTCTTTATGATTCTCGTTAAATAATTCACGTGGTCGTATGCCAGCTTTGTTCTTCTTTTCTCGAAGGGAAGGAGGGAGCATAGCGCATACACTCTGTGAATGCATATATAGATTACATAATCATGATCGATTTATAAAAGACATTGTATCAACACAAGTCCTTCAACCTTGGGCTAGCTGAAGAAAACGTAGGGGAAGAAAATCCAGTTTTAATTAATTCAGTATTTAATTTGTACGTATGCATGCGTTTACCTCTCTCTCTCTCTATCTTTCTCTCTCTCTCAGAAAAAAATAACGAGACTCTAACTAAAGAAGATATATAAAAAATAAGGAAAACTATGAACATAAACTAATATTTTGCGAACGATAATGCAGTAAATTACTTAATACAGTATTGTATTGTGTTTTCGATTTGATTTGGCAGATATGCTATCGTCGTGTCACGTGTGTAAGATACTTATGGATCTTCGAATCTCCAAGGAGCAAAAATCATCATGCTTAATTTGTTAGCTAGTCATATAAACGGAAAGGGTGATTATCAATTTTCTAATAATACCAACTACTAATAAAACATAGATATACTTTTTTACTATCATTAACTAATAAAACACATATTAAAATTGTTAACCTAAATAATATTGTGTATTATGTTGTATTATAAAACCCATGTAGCCCACTTTGTGTATCCCTCTTAGTGAGCTCATCATATATTTATTATATATTGCATTTCATGAGAATGACGATTATGAGAAAACACTGATTAGAAAACTAGGCTTATATTTAATTAAGGTCTTAGTATGCTCCGTGTCTTCTATCAATATTCATAGTTTGTCTCATGCAACATCTAAAGCAGTTTGAGTAATAATTTTTGTTATAAATTAAATTGAAATGAAAGATCAAAACCAAATATAATGAAATATGCACCTTGAACCATGCTAGATCTGTTATCAGTTGTGCAGCTGGCCCTGGAATGTCCTTCAATAGATAATCACTCCTTGTTGTCTTGCTGAGGATCCCGACTAAATGCAACATATTATTACCATTTTCGTCTTCAAGATCAATTATTGATTCCTTCATTGAGCCTAGAACATGCAATAGGGAGTAGATACCCCTATATCGATGTGTTACAGCAACATGAAAAATACTTTGCTTGTTATCATTTAGTGCTAGTACTTGCTCTGGATATTGACGAATTAGCTCGACTATAAATGCTGTGTTGCCCATTTCCGCAGCTACAAATAGTACATCGGAGGAATAGTACTTATCATCCGTAATCTGGTCAGGATGCCCTCTTACCATGTCGTCAATTTTAGTTTTGGACAATTTCATAATATGTCCCCAAATGATTCTAAGCAACTCCATGGCTTGATTTCCCTCGTTAACAAGTCCGTCATATCCATCGCTTAGGAAAACTGAGAAACCAATTAAGTGGATGATATTATTTACTTTGAGTAGTTGGCTATGAGTGAATTTTGAATGAAAGTGCTTAAATGAGAAATAAAATGTGTGAATACATGAGGGAATATTCACATTGGAAGATAACAATATGACAGTTATATATATATATATATATATATATATATATATATATATATATATATATATATATATATATATATATATATATATATATATATATATATATATATATATATATATATATATATATATATATATATATATATATATATATATATTTACTAACTTATAAAAGAAATCCTACTATTTCTATAAATAGATCCAATAAAATAATATTATTTTTTTAAGACGTTCAACTCTCTAAGCGTAAAGTACAACTAATCATCAATAAAATAATATTAAATTTTAATCTGATTACCTTTGAAATCTTATCTCTTCCAAAAATTTGACCAAATCTCTTATCCAATTAAAATAAAACAAATAATCCATTATATATGCCCTTTTATTTGTAATTTTTTTAAGCTTTATTTATTATTTATACCCTCTAATCGAAATTGACCAATCAGTTGTAAAATCAAATATTTTGTTTAATAATAAGAAAAAATATCTATGTATGATTTATGACTAATAGAAAATTAGTATTCCATTTGTTATTCATGTTCCATGAAATATGTTTGTATTAATTTTATTATTTTTCGGTTTAAAATTTTAGATAGTAAAGTGGATAATAGGATATATCCGTTTAGACTTATCTGTATAAAGCAAACCGGGTTGTTAAGATTAACTTTGATTCTCCCTTTTATTAACTTTATCAATACCAATAAAGGTATAAGCAAGTCACTTCGTATGGATGTGTCCTGATTTCTAAAATGAAGGACTATAAACGTACACTACACACCAAAATATTTATTTTCTTTTGTATTGAGAGGGTTACATTTATTTGTTGCCGTAAAACCAATCGATAACAATATGCATATGTTTTGTGTTACTTGAAATCTAACATGTTTCCGTATAGAACTTATTGCCGAATGAGAAACTATTTTTCGCCGCCGCTTTACGCGGGTCTACGGCTAGTATATATATATATATATATATATATATATATATATATATATATATATATATATATATATAGAGAGAGAGAGAGAGAGATACAGGGCCGTCCCAAGTCAATTTGAGGCCCGGGGTAAAAACTAAAAATGAGGCCCCTCAAAATTTAATAATCAAAAACAATAATACAATGAAACAGAGACAAGTACATAAGCATTTGCTATTAAATTATATATATATATATATATATATATATATATATATATATATATATATATATATATATATATATATATATGTTATGAAAATAATACAATGATACAATAAACCACTAGGTTAGCACAAAAAAACTAATGACAAAGAAAAAAAACACATAATCGAACCATTTTGAAAAACTACCACTTTGGTGTCTGAAAAAAAAAAGAAAAAAAAAGATGAGTGTTTTGAAAAAAGAAATCATAGTTTGGTGAAAAACAGGTAGGTTAGCATGATTTTTGATAACAAAACTATAAATAATAGTTATTATATATTAAAAGATAATGCAATGTAGAAAATCCCATATATAAATAGAAAATTTATCCATGATAATGACTAGAAAAAGACCAAAATTTTAAATGAAATAAATATTTGAGTGGTTTGTAAAAAAAAAAAAAAACTAAGAGTCTAGTAATAATTTCTATAAATTGGATGATTTTTTAATAACAAAGAAGAATGAAATGACTATTTCTGTAATTTGAATTGAAAACTCAATAAAATTCGGTAAAACGTTAGTTTTTAAAGGTATTAAAAAATAAATAAATAGGGAGAATTTCATATATATCCTTACAATTCATCTAAATAGGAAGCCTCCAAAATTACTTGGCACTATACTAAACATCTAGCCTAAGGAAATGTTGCATAAACTTTAAAACAATTCATATATATAAAGTAAAAGACAGATATAATTTTGGGGCCCCAAACCGTAACGAGACCCGGGATCATCGCCCAGCTTGCCCGCCCTATTGGGTCGGCCCTGGAGAGATATCAAGTTAGTAAATGAGTAATAATTCTCAATAACACGTACAAGAAAAATCTCTAGTGCCAATAGACTAACTAATGATATGTTATCAATTTTATTGAATAATGTAGCACAGCTTTCCGTTTTCAGGCTGGTATTAATAATACATTTTAACCTTAAAGATGGTCTAACCACTTTATATAAGTTAAGACCTTTATTACGAGGTTTTGATTAATTATCATTATGATTATGCTTAGACTCTTGAGATGTTAAAGTCTCGATGGAAGACTCTCTTAAGAGTCCTACCCTTTGATGTTTACGAGTTGATCCTAATCACTAGAATAGAGAGCATGTTCACTGATAGAACTAGAACTGTAACCAACATATTAGTGTACATTATATAGCCTATTGTAAAACCACTCCAACCACTAGAATATAGAGTTGATCCCCTTATATATATATATATATATATATATATATATATATATATACACACACACACACACACATATATATATATAGTGAGAGAGAGAGAGAGAAAGAGAAAGAGAGAGAGCTAGGTTCAAATGTAGATTGATATTTATTGTGCAGATGTGTGGACAATGTTATTATGTGACAATAACAAAGAAAATATGTTGTTTAATAATATGAATACGTTTAATCTTACATAACTAGTATCATTATCACACATTCTTACTAATTAAATCGTCTATAAGGATATTACAGAGTTTTTATTATTATTCTCATTCTGTTAGAATGTTATCAGACTATTTATCTAGTCATATTCTATAAGAATCAAAATGAGTGAAAAACGATGTGTGAGAACAAAAATGAATAAGAATTAATAAGAATGCATGAAAATGACAATAGTTGTTTGAGGTTGAACATATTCGTATTACTAAACAACTTATTCTCTTAGTAATTCTCATAGAATAGTATTGTCCACACGTCCACATAACAGTTGTCCATCCATATTATATATATATATATATATATATATATATATATATATATATATATATATATATTGTTTGATTCATATTTTTTGGTAAAATAGTAAGTACATTGAACTTTTTGTCCGTATATATTTTCTACTAATCATATTCTTTGTGTGAACATTTTATTCTCCTGAATATTATTGTTGGCTTGTTATAAGTAATAATTTATATCAAGTTAAGACCTTTATTAGGAGGTTTTCATTAATTATCACTATGATTATGATTAGACTCTTGAGATACTAAAGTCTTGATGGAAGACTCTCTTAAGAGTCCTGCCCTTTGATGTTTAAGAGTTGATCCCCTTAGTTGACCGCTCCAATCACTAGAATAGAGAGCATGTCTAGCGATAGAACCGCAACCAACATATTAATGAACATTATATAGCATACTGTAAAACCGCTCCAATCACTAGAATATAGAGTTGATCCACTTATATATGTGGTTTGATTCATATTTTTTGGTAAAATGAGTAAGTACGTTGAAATTTTTGTCGGTATATATTCTTTACTAATCATATTCTCTATGTCAACATTTTGTAGGTATGGGACTTGCAAAACTGCCATGGTTATTAGTGTACATTGTAGCCTATTGTTGTAATATGTTATCGATCAATCCAATCTCCAGTTATTGTAAATAGCATTCTTTAATATGGTATCATCTCTCTCTCTCTCTCTCTCTCTCTCTCTCTCTCTCTCTCTGGCGAACCCTAACATTCGACCTCCTTTACATCGCTGCTACTCCTCCTCTTCTCTCCTTTCTACCTTCTCAACCCTCTTTCTTGGCTCACCATGGCTGAAAACTTATTCGTCACAAACCAAAATCCCTACGACATAACCAACATTAAGGCATATGTTCCATTAACCCTAGATCTTAACGAGTTAAACTATGTTACCTGATGCAAGCTCTTCGAGACAGACTGCAATGATTTTGGTGTACTCAAAAACATTGATGGCTCTCCCACCCCCCACGATTAACAACCCCGAATGGCACAAACTTGATTATATTGTCAAAGTGTAGATCTACGACACCATCATATGGTCGTTCTTCAGAATTATCCTTGAAAAAATGGAAACGCTCAATCAATTTGGAAAAGTCCTGAAAACCATTTTTCCAACAAAAAGATGCATGTGTCATCGAGTTAGATAGTGAAGTTCGTACACTGGTTAATGGCTAAAGGGGCGTAGCAAGTAACAAGGAAGGTGAGTCCTAGGACCTACCTTTTTTAATTTTTAATAAAGCAAGGTATTAATTAAAAATAATAAGGAACTACAATAATATTGTCAAAGGACCTACGTAACCCACTATCTTAATACACTCTCATTAATCAATGGCTCACTCCATTTAATATTGAAAAAAATAAGGAAATAGAAATATAACAAAATATTGATAATAGTTATTAGTTTGCTACTTTGTAATATTCAATTTCATATTTAAATTCCAGAATCAAGAATGTCTCTGTATTTTTTAGTGATAGTTTAGTGTCATATATTTCAATGATAGTTTAGTATCTTATGTTGAAAAAAATGAAATTCGAGTATAGTTTAGTGTCGTATATTGAAAAAAATGTCTTAAAATGTATCGATAACAACGTAATTATGAATATGTTTCAAGATATAAAACCTCATAGAGTTTATTACTATTGAAATGATGTTTAAGTATTTTAAGGCATACAACCTGACCCGCCACTACTAGTATTTGTTTCTCTTTCATAAATTTTTAGTTTTATTTACATAAGAAACCACGTGGTTTTTTGTTTCGTCACTATGGCGATAATACAATTTCCCAGAATTTCCAAAAGATGAAGCTCGTCTCTTATATATATTAGAAAATACTGATGTTCTCATCCCCAATAAGACCTATGTCAATTATCTCAACAAAGATTTGACCGTGAGATTTAA